TTATTCCTCATTCAAAGAAGAAATCAGGTTAATATGCATTTCTTGATTCTCTGTCTGAAATGAGCCAAGTAATGTAAGTGTGTTAAAGGTCGGTTTTCGGTCAACTAAAATGTTTACCGAGAAAGATGTCATGTTTAAACTTTTTCAGAAGATTACCAAGTGTGAGACTCCAAAAAGTCTGAAGTCCTACAATAATCTTTCTGTTTGTTACTAAACAATCCTTGACTTTTAATAACATCTTACATCATAAACCACACCTCTATTCCTGGTCCATCGACCAATCAAAAGCTCTCAAATGAACCGGAAGTCGACCCATTTAAAATGTGGCAACTTCCCAGTTCATGTTGGAACTCCAGAGAATTCAGGAGAATTCCAGAGAAGCTGAAATTCCAGAAGCTGGAGAGCCTGAGGAGATGAAGAACTACAGAGTTGCTGACAATTAAGAGTCTGAGAAGTTCTGAAGAATGAAAGGAGTTCAGAGTTCTTGGGTGCAAACGCATTCAGGATGATCCAGAGACGTTTTGGGATTATAATTTCTGTTTGAAAACCACGTACGACTCTCTGAGGGTTTGGTAGTTCTCACGGAGACGCTGAAAAGAGTCAGAAAGGAACCTACGCCGACGCTGATTTCATCATCAAGGTAGATGGTTCTATTTTCGACCAAGTGTACCGTGGGCAAGCTGATATCTGATGGAGCGTGCAATTTCTGGTCAAACAGATTAATTCCCTCACATATCTGTCTGTAAGATAACTCCATTTCATCTTAAAACTCTCCTCTTTCTCATAAAATCAGTACAGATATTTTAGAAATATCTGAAGCAAAGTCCTCGTTCACCGCCGAGTGATCGATGTCCCTTTTCTGTGAAACTTGTCTGTTATTATTTTCATATTTTGCCAAATTAATGTAAATGTTTGATGTTAAACTTTGATTCTGAAAATAAATGGCCGCATTCACTTTGATGGGTCAAAGATAAATAACGTCTCTCGTTACATTTCTGTTAAATTCAATGCACGACATTACACAGTCAGAAAGATGAGGAACTCGTGAATATTGTATGCATATATATCTCATATATTGTCATACTACAACTGGTGGCACGTACGTACGTGACTACTACACGTGCATCTTGCTGTGATTGAAACATCTGTTCAAAATGTTTTTTTTGTGAGGACCTCGTGTTCACTTTTAAATTGAAGGAAGTGTTCTTCAATTTCCTGGACCACCTCTTTTTCGCTGTTTAACCTTATCTCAAGGTCGTCAGCTTTTTCTACCCCTGTATAGAATGATTCTTTCAGCAAAATTGCCATTTTAGCCAGCTTTTCATAGCTTGACTTTGTTATTTCTGTAGAGGTCACACTCTCTGCAACCTCCTTCAGCTCTTCCAATAACTCATTGTCGTTCATGCTGTCCACCTGTTCATCATATGGAACTAAAGATTCCGTCAGCAGTGCTAACGCTTTCTCTAACCATTCCATTTTGGTCTCAATTTTCTTTTCTGTTCCATCAGCCATGGTCATTCACTGTTCAGCACTTTATCTGGTTAAAACAGTTGCCAGCTTCAGATATTTCAACAGGTAAATATTTGTATTCAAGTGAGCGGTGAGTTTCACACACTTTTTAAGCTCTGGGTTTACACAAAAGTACTGTTATAAGTCAACTTATTCAGAGGAATGGGCACCAATTCGTAGGTTTTACCCCAATTCATGAATATTTAAGTAAATGCTTCTCTGCAGTGTTACTTTTTAATGTGCTTATTTTTAACAGATACAAGAACCAGGCCTCTAAGTGATATTTACTCTAAAGCACTTAACATTAAATAAACCTGCAATTTTCCTAAAAGTTTAAAGCAACTTCAGTTTTTAAACGCTTTCTTAAGCCGTTCTTTTCCAGAAATTCGCTATTTTAACAGTTACTCATTGAACCAGGTGGGGGGAAAAGAGAAAATAATTTTATGAGGAGCTTCAGTCTTTCTTCAGAAAAACTGTTATACTCCTCTTTCAACAGCAGGTGGCGGTGTTAGCTTTATACCAGCAGGAGCCTATGACAACTTCCTGTGGACGTTCTGTTGACATCCTGTCGTTAGCTTTTTAGCTTAAAATTAGCTTCGGCTAAAACTCGGTCAAATCAACATTTCTGAACGGATTTCAAGCTAAAACGTGGCGTTGTTTCAACAAGCACGACTTCTTTGCATGAAACATGAGTTTTGGGAACAGTGGCACGGCACATGTAGTGACTTTAAGCACAGAAAAGGCTTCGGATCACCCGAGACTCATTTCCGGGGTCACGTGACTGAATCAACCAATCATCAGAGCAGAGCGGGGTGGGTTTATAATCTGACATTAGAGGAAGTGACGAACAGATACGTCACTCATCTCTCAGCATATCAGAGCGTTCCACACGGCCGTTTTCAACCAATCACAGAGACAAACAGCGGGGGTGGGTTTTATATCGGTGACTCAGAGGAAGTGACGCGGACACGTCACTCATTTCTCAGCGAATCAGGGCGTACCACACAGTGGTTTTCAGCCAATGACGGATCGTTTTTCCAGCTAGCGTGTTAGCATTTAGCATCAACATTCCGGTCAACTTTTCGCCTTTTAAACTGTCAAAATGTACTATTTACTGTTAAAAAAGTAACGAATAACTCTCAAAGCTTCACTGAGACGGCGCTCAGTCCTTAAAACGTCTCACCATCTATTTAAAAACACTCGTTCGGACTTATCAGAACCGAGCCGGACCAGAACCGGGTCTGCAGAACCCCCGTCCGTTTAAACAGAATCCACGTTTAACACAGCTCTTCAGCTTCAGTTACACACAACAGACGTACATTTCAGCTTTAAAATGACTCATTGACTCTCAAAGCCCAGCTTTCAAAACATCACAGCTGCTAAACATTGCTGTATTTTCTCCGAGCATCTCAGCTGCAAAAACGCTGCGTTTCACACAGCAACTCTCTGCACTTTTCATTTCATGCCAACATGCTAATTCAATTGTTACACGAATACAGTCCATTTATGAACCTGTAACGAGCCACCAGAATGTAGAGCTCGTTAGAGACCCGTACGAGGTCACCAGAACATAGATGAACATATTCATAAATTAAACGGATTCATTCATTTTTCTGGACTGAATAATATCGTGCATTGAATTTAATAAAATGTAACGTGAGACGTTAATTTTCTTTGACCCATCAAATGAATGTGGTCATTTATTAACAGAATCAAAGTTTAACATCAAACATTTACATTAATTTGGCAAATTGATTTCAACAACAACATGGCTTAGTTAGCAAGCTTTACAATTAGAAAACCATACGGCGATGGTTTTCCTCACTTCAAGCTTTACAACAGACATTTCTGAAAATATCTGGATTAATTTCTGGCAGAATAGAAGAGTTTAAAGATGGAAAATGAAGTTTATCTTGAGAGAGATGGGTGAGGGAATTTGTCTGTTATAACCAGAACAACACGCTCCTTCTGGACCCAGCTTAACCAACGGTACACTTTGCGGTTGAAGATCGACTCTTTACCTTGGCAGAGGATAATTCCGACTTCGGTGTAGAGTTGCCTTCAAACGCTCTCCAGCGTCTCCGTAAGGATAATAGGGAACCGTTCGGAGTCGTGAGTTCACTTCAACATTTGAAAATGGTTTGAACTAAACACACTTTGATTTATCAAACCATTTGTAAAATAGTAATGATAATAGAAAAAGAGAGTGTTCTTTCAATTGATCAGTGCAGGACACTTAGAAAGTCTCTGGATGAACTTAATCTTGTGTTTCTGGACTCAAATCAATGAAATACAGTTCTTGTATTTTAAAGTGGGTTCAGGCTCAGTTTGAATCTGTTTCCTCAACGTTTCATCTTTATGGTTAAAATGCTAAACAGTCAAAAACGTTCTCATCATCAACTCCTTTATTAAAAAAAACATTAATCACCACAATGTTTGTCTTTTTTGTCTTAGAGCTGTCATTTCTAGCCCGAGCCCGAAGCCCAGAGTTCAATTAAAATAGCCTTGTTCTATATTTTTCCAGATAATTTTACTCTAAAATATTTTTGTTCATCTGTACAATAGTTTATCTTTAGAGTTGATTTTTAAGCTATTTTGTTAATATCCATTTGGTGAAATAAGAAATCTTATGTCTTCTTTTCTTTGTAATACTTTTTTAAAAATATATTTGCTTTCAAAAGCAGTAAAAGCTTAATAAAAAAGTTTTTTTGTTGTTTTTTTTGGGGGGTGGGGGTGGGGTTTCAGGCCTGTAATTACAGTTAATCCGTCAGTTTCGCGTCAGGCTCGGAAAAAATAATACGGGTTCAGCCCGGGCCAGATTTTTTTAGGCCCGAATGCAACTCTAGTTAGTGTTACACCAGAACAAATCATGTTTTTCTATCATGATATAGAAGTTTTTAATTATTTTATCAAAAACTGATAAAACAGCCTACTGCTGCATACACTGCTGTTCTACCAAAACATTCAGCTCGTTCAGGAAGACGTGCATGACGACGCTTCTTTGTACCGTTTGTCCTTTTACAAACATTGAACTTTACAGATCTGTTACAAATACACAGACCTCTGACACAAACATTGTTCTCATGGTTCTCTTCAGCATACTGGCTCTATTTTTGTTTTATTAAAACTGCTTTTCGCTAATCTTTTGCTACATTTAGCTTTTAGCTAACTTTTTGATCCTTTTAGGAGTTACTGGTACTAAAGTTTAGTGGTTTGTTTCCGCTAACCTTTAGCTCGTGCTGTTTCTTGGGGCTTGAACATCTCAGCTTCAGCTTCTTCAGCTCAGTTCACCACGGTGTGTGTGTGTGTGTGTGTGTGTGTGTGTGTGTGTGTGTGTGTGT